ATTTTTTTTTGTAGTAGGAGGAATGGTACTAGTTACATTTTTTGATCACTTGAAATCAGAAGATTGTATTTTATATTGGTATATTACTCTAGTTATGTGTGCTTTAGGAGAAGCAACATAGGCATGTTCATTGCTAGTACAGTAAACTCTCTGTTGTCTGGTATTCAACTAACTAGAACTCTCATCTAACCAGAAAAAAAAAATCTCCTGTGTACTCACTGCTCTGCTGATCTGCTCATTGTATCCTGGAAACAATTGTGTCTTAATTTCCTTTTTGATTACTGCATTTCAATATTAATATGAAGGCAATACAGAGTTTATGGTATAGTATTGGGTATGGCATTAGTTAGACCTATTTTTAATAGTAACTCTCAAGCAACCAGAAACGACATTTATCCAAAATTTACCAATCCCTGTGGATGCCGGATAACTGGTAGTTTACTGTATATGGTCTGTTCTCAAACATCTTAAAAAGTCAACAAACACAAATGAATAGCTTATAAAACTTTCCTGGATAAGTAGTTAAAAGTTTGAGGCGCTTAACAGAACAGGGGAGATTTCAGATAAATGGTAATCTGAGGGTAGTGTTTTCATGTACATAGCATTATTCTTCTATGGGATTAATGACTAACACTTGACATGTTTCCTCATATGTTTTTTTAATGTGCAGGCTGCCTTAACACAGTGCATGTTGATGTGTGTCATAATACACCACAATGATGTGAATGGGCCCTACGGCTGGATTCACAGCCCCTATGTTTTTTGCATTCCAGTAACACACAGGTGGGAGTCCAGCCTAACTCACATTGATATTGTGATCTACTAGGGATTAGTGATGAGCCGAACACCCCCGTGTTCGGTTCGTATTGGAACGGCCGAAAAGTTTGAATACGAACTCGAACTCAATGCAAGTCGATGGGGTTCGAATGTTTGAAAATGAATTTCCCATTTAAGAGGGCTTATATGCAAGTTATTGGCCATAAATGGTGTATGGGGGTCCGGGTACTGACCTGGGGGACAGGAATCAATGCCCCCCCAAAAAATAAAGTTTTTAAAGGAGCAGTGATATTAACATCACTTAAAGGGTAAACAAAATGAAAAGTCGCTTCAAATATCATGCCTGGGGGGTCCCCTTAACCTTCCTGTGAAGTGGCGGATCTGTAGGATGTATAGAACCTGCTGCAGCAAAACTGACATTTCTAAAGAAAAAAAACATGATATTTTTTTCTCTCTCTTAGGCCCCGTTCCCACTGCGCGATATGCAAATTGTGCGTTTGTCGCGCGATTTGCATATTGCGCGACATCGCGAGATTTGCCGCGCGATGTCGCGTTCAAGCTTGCATTGAGCAAGCTTGAATCGCGGCTAAATCCGCTCCAAAAAGGGTCCTGCTGTAGCGACACACGACCCGCGACAGCAGGACCCTTTGCCCCATTGGATTGCATTGGAGCGCGATATCGCGCGGTAACTTGCCGCGATATCGCGGGAATTACCGCGCGATAAATCGCTCAATGTGAACGGGGTCTCAAAGTGTGCAGTTTCCCTCCCCAAACAATACCAGACCCTTTAGGTCTGGTTAGAAATTGTTTGGAGGGACCAATTTTTTTTCAAAAAAACTGTGTAGGGTTCCTCCTAAAAGTCATACCAGGCCCTTAAGATCTGGTAGAAATATTTAGGAGGGACCCCATGTAACAAAAACAAAAAAGAAAGTGTGTGGGGTTCCCCCTAAAAGTCATACCAGGCACTTAAGGTCTGGTAGGAATTTTAAGGAGGAACCCCATCCCCAAAAATGGGGGGAAAAAACATGGGACCTCCCACTAAAATTCCAGACCCTTGATCCAAGCATAGGCCTGGCAGGGCCGGAAGGGGGGGGGGGGGGGACCGCCCCCCCCCAAAGACATGTTTTTGACAAGTCTTTTATTCAAAAAAAAAATGGATCCACCGACGTAATCCAGGGTCAATCAAGGCGTCCAGCGTTATCCACGACAACGACGAAATAAAAAATAAAGAGAAATATACGCTCCCGCCGCATAATGGTATTTTGTCAGATGTGGTCAGGTGCACGACTTTAACAAATCGACGCTTCAGAGGGCATTTTGCCTTTATGGAATGTCCGCGGTCGAACAAACCGCGAACATCCCATAAAGTTCGGCGAACGCTCGAACTGCCGATGTTCGATTCGAACTCATGTTTGAATTGAACACTTGGCTCATCCCTACTCCTGTACCGAAAAACCCGGTATCGGTGCATCCCTATTATCTACGCCAGGCTAATCTACATTCCGATTATTTTCTCATCAAGCTTCCAGCTGTAATAGAAATGCACAGAAAACGTCTATAGCTGCTCTCAGTCTATAGGTTGCTTCATGAGGCTTTGAAACATCAGGAATGTTGGCTCGCTGACAGCTGAGAGTTCACCGAGTTCGTACAATCTAGTAGTAAACAGCTTTCCAGGGAACATTTCACCATCTAAGAATACAACTCTAGCTGAAATTAACCCTTAACAATAAACGTAATACAAATAAGCCCAGTTACAAATAGTTGATGGAGATATCCGTCCTTGTTGAAGTGATAAATGGAGATGTTTATTTTAGGCATGTAGACTTTCTTTAAATCCACCCATGCTGATGCTGCATCTGTTTTTTTTTGTTTGTTTTTTAGATAATCAAGTGACACAGGGTAATCTCTTAGAGGAGAATGACCCGTAATATCATATGTACATATGAGAATAGAATGATTCCGGAGTGTGGATAATCTCTGCTATATCTATATCACTTAGACTGTGCAAGTACTGAACTTGAATGCTGCAGTTAATGGAGTTGCAAAGTCCCAGCATATCCCATCGTGTTATAACATAAGCATTGTAATAGGAATACATATTAGAGTTGCTTTTGATATATATAATAATACAATATATGTGTTATATTGTATTATTATTATATATTGATAATACAAACAAAGCTTACCTGAAAAAAATTATTTTATTTTATGTATTCAGTGCTGCCTTCTGCCTGTCCATCACTTTCAACAACTTCCTGGATTCCCAATGTGCTATGCATCTCTTTCCCTGCTGTTTGATGCCATGCATTCTCCATTTCTCAAGACTCCATCTCCCATTATGCATTGCTTCCAGCAAGCAATAATGATGGTACACTGCTCAGACATTGAGTTGTAGTTCAGAACGCAGGCTCTGTGAGAGTTATGACATAAGGAAGTGCATATTCACAGGGCTCAGTGAGTAAGTACATCCTATGGTCATCTTTTAACAAGTTAGTTTACAAACTCCTAGATGGATATGGTTATTAAGAGGGAGATGGAACCTACAGAAATTCAATATAGAAATATGATTTATTTTTAATAACTACTATTGGCTCCTGATGGTGGAAGCAGTCAACCTGTGATTTTGATACCAAGATACCGAATTCATGTTGTTTGGCTGGCCCGATTGTGATTTGCTCGGGAAACCGGCTTCCCAGTCAACTGGCATGGAGCCGTCTTCCCGGCCAATCAGGAAGCCGGGTGGCGAGTAAATTACCTGTTGTTCAGCCGGCTTGATGCTGATTGGCCAGGAAGCCGGCTTCCCAGCCAATCAGGAACACGGGAGGCGGGTCATTACTCTCGCCACCTGGCTTCCTCATTGCCCAGGAAACCAGCTCCATTTTCCCCTACGGCACTTCAGATCAATTTTCCTCTGACCGGAAGTTCCAGTATCGGGGAAGGTACAAGAGCATTTGGGCGAGTACGAGTACTCGCCCAAATACTCGCTATCGGCACCGATACTAGTAACGGTATCGGTTCATCCCTAGTTTTAACCATTCCTTAGTCTATCTATAATGCACAAAAAAACAGCCTATGAAAGTGATTGTGTGTCTTTACAGATACTGTGATCATTTCTACAATGAAGCAGAAGAAATCTAAAACCATGCCAATCCATCAGCTTGTTTTTTTTAACCTTTTAATGCCATGACCTGTAAAGCATATCCTTGGTAGTGAAAGGGTTAAGTACAGCTGGAATTAATCAGAGCCTTGTGGTTTTAGGCCCATTCAAGAAAACATATTTGTTTGCCATAACAATTATTTCAGACATCTTACTGTTGTTTTTTAACTCTTAATTCTAATTGTAACCGTTTTTATGGCAGATCGTGTTGGCTATAACTTGGTGTATTGAGCCTATTCATTGTTCGATGTGCAAGTACCTTGTAGACTGTGTACCACAAATCTATTTAATAAATGCAGTCACATGATGTTTAGGCATTTTTTAAATCATGTAAAGTAAAGACTAGGCAGAATTTTTTATTTTTAGCTGCTTCATCCAAAAGCAGCCATTCCCCAGTGAACCTACCGTGAATGGATGTCATCCATTCACAGCTTTGCAGTGGGAAATAAAGTTCTTTAGATGATGTCATCTTTTAGTATAGTATCAACTTTCCATTTCTTTGATGAATTCAAGGGGATTTGACCTGTGGAAGCTTTAGTTTAGAAAAGGCAAGCAGAGGGCAATGGACAAGTCACCATTCCTTGTTGACTCCCTGTAACTAATCTTTTGCTCATTAATGACTAACCATGCCTTGTTCTGCACTTTCTTTGTGGAGGTGGACATCTTGGAACTGTCCACCGATGACTAATGGGGGAATAATTAAAAATCAGCAGGGCTGTTTCAATAAGCACAGATTTACAAAATAGATAAAACAGCAGCATGGAGATGCTTGTCTGCAGGTCTTCAGGTACAGCTTCATCTCCAACAAGGAGAGCCGTGGACAGTATCGTGACGAAATCGCCAAATCTCACACCAGACCTCCTGAAACTAGCAGTCAAGGCAGCAGTGCCTTAGATGTCACATTGCAGATATACAGTTATGAGGATGTAGTCACAGGAGTACTCGGGTACATGTAGTGTACTGCTATTTTTATGGGGTAATGTAAGACAAAATCGTAATTTTTAATGCCTTTCTTTTGGCGCCATTAACATTTCTATAACAAAGCAAATCTTTACATTTTGAATTCTGGGCACATTTAAGCTGAGCACCTTGGAAGACGATTAAGTCCTGCTATGTCCAAAATAATTTAAAAAAAATAAAATTTATTTTTGGGTGCACATGATTGGATGATGAGTCAACACCTCATTCACTAAATGTAACATTTCCTTGCAACTTTATTAGCATATTTGCCATCAGTAAATCAACCCCATTATTCACAGATCAAAGGACAATTCTGTGATTGCACATAAGCCCTAACCAAAATACATTTTAACCCTTTTTTTTTTACAATATATCTTTGAATGAAGAGCTGTTATTCATGCTTCTCATACATAGCTCAGCTTTAAATTCCTGCAGATTACAGAGCGGCTGGAGCAATCCCAGCTACACCCTCTGTAACACCTTTTCTGCCACTACATCGCCCAGTCCTGATATTTCAAGCATTAAAGGAGAACTATGAGGTGAGTGATTTACACTCATCCTCATAGTTAGAGCCGACGTGTGAAAGTGAAACTGTCACGCGTCGGCTCAATAGATCGGGAAGTGATCGCACACATACCGGCGCTCGCTCACTTCTCGATCATCTCCTTGCAGAGAGCCGTGACTGCCAGTCACTGCTCCCTGCAGGGGATCCACCCCTCCCCTCTCTGAACCTCCAGTGCTGACTGGAGGAACAGACAGGGGAGGGGGCGGGTACAGCTTGCTCTGCCTCCTAGATAGGCAGAGCCCGCTGTCACTCACACAGCTGGGTGGGTTTCGACAGTAATATTGGGATCCGTCCCGCCTGCGGTGGTCTCAGTATACCACGAGCTGTAGCTCGCGACATACTGAGCTTTGGGGTCACGGGAGGACACTAGTATATGTCCTCTCGTGACCCTTGAGAACTAGGGAAAAACACTTACCCCATAGTTCTCTTTTATTACCTTTTTTTTTTTTTTTTAATATGGGAAATAGATGGGTAGATAGATTGATAGATTTGTAAGCAGGTGTGAGACAGGGAAGTATAGTTTGCCTTTTCTCTACAAGGTGTCCCTCTGCCGTCTCATAAAGTTGGGAAGTACTATATGTAGAGGACAATCATGCTAGACCCTAATGTACATACGGCTTATTGATTGAAGTCTTAACCTTCTTGGAGTTTTGTAAAATACAAATGTAGATTTTCAAGTAAAGATCCTTGTTATTGTGCTATCTTGGCAGTAAATGCTTTTGTTTCCATTGCAGGAACTTCAACATGAAAACATTGTGGCTCTTTACGATGTTCAGGTAAGACTGAAAAACGTTTGTTTTAGCTGTGAATGCGTTATATTAGGCCTCTGGCATCAACACATATATCTTTTTAGCATGCACATGCATTGTGCAAGTATGTTTTTATAGCAAAAATCAATAATGCAATACATTAGTGAATCAACCAAGTGGAAATCAATGGTGTAATTGTCAAAGTCCACCTTGTGCAAGCAGTACATGTTGCTAAATTCTTGAGAATAATCAGTTTTGCATCATGCTGAAAATAAGCCTGTTGGAATCAGTTGGGTAGGGATAAGGCATTGGTAAATGGAGATAGGAGAGTATTACCGCTGTCAAACACTGGTCCATTTTGCAGCAGTCTTGCCATCTGCAAGCGAATTATGCAGTTATTCCTATGAGTCTACCCTGTACCTGACTATTGTTATAATATCTAATTTAGAAAAGACGGAATTGGTCAATACATTACAAGCTTACCCCTTAGGGCCTGTTAACACGATGTCCGTTTTCTGTGCTGACCTGATCCGTACGCTCCTGCACTAAAAATGCATCCCAATGTATCCCTATGTGTTTTATTGGCTACAGTTCTCACGTGCGCAGTCCGTTCAGGTTACGACAGAAAAATACTGCATGTCACATTTTGTACGGTCAGGAAACGGTTCGGAAATGCAAAACGCGTCAAACGCACTGCACTGCAGCTAACATACTGACAGCCCCACTCCACTGGAACGCATCAAAAACGTGGCAAAACACATAGCACCGCGTCTGCAGATACGCACCTGATACGGACCCGATCAGGACCTGAAACTCATGTGAACAGGCCCTTATAGTAAACATATACATTATCTAAACAATGGAAAGTAACAGATTTGTTGTGTAGCAGTTATGATAAAGCTTCCTTTACTTAGCTCCGTTGTCTCTGATCTGCTTCAAATATGCCCTGAGATTCCTATGCAAGTGTTAACCTTCCAAAAATATAAACCACACAGGGCTAAGTAATCTCCCCTCTTTCACATGTCAACACTTGCATCTGGCGCACAGCCATTCAGGCACTGGTGCAGAATTATAGAGAGGCACATGGGAAGGTCATGTGTGCCAAATACCTGGAAGTACCCACTTTTTCTGGGGGCGATGAAAGTAGGTTGGCGTAGTAAAAGCTCTGTTTCTTCCCCCCTCTTTTACTTGTCTAGTGAGTCGATTTTTGTAATTATTTATCTAGAGTAGTATTTCTCAAACGGGGCCGTGGCTCCCTTTGAGTGCCTTCTGACTTCCTCAGGGGTGCCTCAAAATGTTGTGGGAGTGTGATATGAAGGGCAAATGAAGTCTGAGGTGAAAGGGGGCTACTGATGAAAAGGGTCAATTTGATGTGAAGGGGGGAGGGAGATTGTATTTGAAGGGGACATGTCAAAGTTAAGGGAGAAATCCACTTTTTTGTGTGTTTTTGCGTGGGGGTCCTCCTTAAAATCAATGACATTTTAGACTGGGGTGCCTAGAGATTTTGCATGCTTTTAAAGGGTGTTGTGACTATAAAAAAAAAAATTGAGAAACACTGCTAGAGAGTCTCGGCTCTGCTTTTCTACATGTAACAACAGGTGACACTGGTTTCAGTTGCAAAAGGGTTATACAATAATATGTAGGTTTGTGTGTTATTACTAGTAGCATCACTTTATAATGCTAAATTGCAAATCTGGTAAAATATTTAGCAAAATGGTCGTTTTTACACTTAACTTTGGTTCTTCTCTATGACGTCTATCAGTATTTTCTGTACTTCACTTTCTCTTGCTGGAAGAACTCCACATAAAGTGGTTTAGAAACAATTCCAGGCGACAAGTGGAAACCAGTCTGTGATCTTAGGTTATTCAGCTAACACACTAAAGATAGAAACGTATGCAGTTTATATGCGTTTGTAAAAATCCACTGCAGATTCCAGATATCTTCTCACACGTGGGATTCAGGAGGG